TCCGAGTTGCAACTCTAAAGAACGCAAAGTTGAAAAACTGCAACTTGAGAGGAGCAACCTTGGCAGGAACTGATTTGGAGGTGAGATCTCCATCTTCTGATTTTTGATGGGCCCCCACAGAGTTAAAACAAGGGGTTCATTGGGAGTTTTCCTTCCAACTTCAATAGCCATGCTGCTTGATAGGCAAGTCATCCAATATCTAGATTTCTGCTAATAACTTCCTCTCTTGTTCCAGAACTGTGACCTGTCAGGCTGTGATCTACAAGAGGCCAACCTGAGAGGGTCAAATGTGAAAGGAGCCATCTTTGAAGAGATGCTGACACCATTGCACATGTCTCAGAGCGTCAGATAGGTTTCCTGCTGAAGACTCTTGGTGCTCAGTGAGGGAATAACGTTCCTTCCACAGCATGCCTTTCTCAGGGGTATCTGAGAAGCTGCTGCTGGATGGAGAGAAGGACCTTCTCTTGTCTTAGGTATAGGAATAGCTATTGAATCCAGTTGGGACAAGAAGCTTGCTCATAACTCCCAAAGACATTGCTATCTTGGCCCTACTTTGCTTTAGAACGCTCCTCTAGAAAAAATATTTATGAAAGCACAATATATGCAATTTATATTTATTCAACTTCCAACGAGGGTTTTTAAAACATGATCGGTTCATACACAGTAGCAAACTCCCGGGCTTTCAGCCTGGATTGATGAACTTTTATTTAGAGTGGCTTATTCAATGTGGGAATGGGAGGAATTGGAAGATCGAAAGGTATCCAGATTTGGATCTTCTTGGCAAAACAGAAATAGCTGTATTTCTTAAAAAGAGTCATCATGTATACACTTGGGGTCTTCTTTTAAGCCTGTTATGCACTAATTTGAAATAGCTGGGCTGTGAATACCGTATGCGTGGGTTCTTTGACTTAGAACAGTGTCATGAATATTAATTGCAAAAGGGGAACACTCATTTTTAACATCATCTCATGCTTAATAATCAGGAATCGAAGGTGCAAATGAAATACAGAGGCTCCTGTGAGCCCTGAATTCCTAAGTTGTACTTTTTTAAATTGTCACTGGACCTATAAGCCTTGTGGACTAGAGACATTAGAAGTGAGCCAATTGGTTTTATATCAGCATTGGGAAAGTACGTCCTGAACATTTTAATAGGCTGGTATTATTACAGGCTTCCATCATAGTGAATAATGACCCTGCCGTTGAATTATCTTGGTCAAAAGTTGAGTGATATACCCAGTGGTGGGTTTCAAATAATTTAACAACCGGTTCTCTGCCCTAATGACCAACTAGGTAGGCGGGACTTGGTGTTGATGTGACTGGGTAGGCATGGCCAACTCAACATCACTCACGTCGATGGGCGCTTCGTCTTAGCTATTACAATGTAATCAGGTTAACCGGAGAGGCGGTTTCTGTAAACAGGGCAATAAAGATTAGGCTAGAAAGAATACCAGAATGCTTCCTTTCTGCCTTCCTTACAGGATTATCCCGGTAAAGTGGGAAAAAACCAAAAGGAGATTTNCAACCTCAATTTCATTGAGGGCTGCATCAGGGTTGTGTTTGACCTGGGGGAGGGGGGCAGGGAGGCGTGGCCACTTTGATGTCACTGTCAGGGGCCCCTGTGGTGGCCCGAGCACTCCGCCAGTGAAAACGGCCTCCCAAGCTCCGTTTTCCGCTGGGACAGCCTCCTGCAACCCTCTGCCAGTGAAAACGGAACATGTGCCCCACGCGAGCTCTGTTTTTTTGGCAAAGACACCGCATGTTGGTCTTTCGCTATTTCCAGGGTGAACCCACAGGCCAGATCTAAGCATCCCACGGGCTGGATCCAGCCCCTGGGGCCTTGAATTTGACACCCCATCACTGGAGGATTTTAAGAAGAGACTAGGAAGTCACTTGTCTGAAATGGTATAGGTTCTCCTGCTTAAGCAGGGGCTGGACTAGAAGACTTCCAAGGTCCCTTCTAGCTCAATTCTATTCTAAATTCTAACCCCTGATTTATAACATATTCAGGAAACCATGTCTAGGTTTGAATTCGATCCAGATAAATCCTGATAGATTCTAAGAAGCATTGAGATACATACAAGACTTCCTACTTTGGATCTATTAAAATGGCCAATATCAATGTAATCTACTTACACAGGAGATGTTTACCCTGTCCAACTTGACCAAAACTGTTTTTACCAAACCCCCAGAACTGCCATGTTATGGATCACCACCAAGTTTGGTCAAATTATATTGAATTTGGAGAAAGGTGGGATTTCAAAGAAAAATGTATTATCAAATTCCAAGTTGGCAGCTATCCCCACCCATCTTGAGGATGGCAATTTGATAATGGCTAGACTAACCTTTTCTGTCAACACTTAAGCACAAATCAGGGCATTTTATGCCCACGGGACCATATCTAGCCCTTTGGGTGTCCCTGTCTGGCCCATGTGAGGTCAATCAGAAATTAGAAATCAAATGTAAATAAGTGTGCCACATGGAACAGAAGAAGAAGCTGAATTGTTTATGGAGATTCTAGGTCATCCAGATCATTCTTGTCCCAAAGTTGCTTTTTCAAGAGGCAAATGGGCTCTCTTGTTCTTCTTGGAAAACATTTAGCTTCTCTCATCCAAGAGACTCCACACCCATTTTCACTATTCAGGTGACCTTGAGGACACAGATAACGTTCCAAGTGGCCTCAACAACTCTCTAAAAAGGATGCAAGTGACCAGCTGCAGGGATGGTATTCACTTACTTTCCATACCAGTTTGCAAATGTGGAGGGCGCGCACTAGCTTCGCTCACACATGCCCTGTCCATGCATATTTCCTCGCCTTCTGCGCATGCGCTTTGATCACACATGCGGCTTGCATGCATTTGTACAGTTTGAAAACATGCCTAAACAGGACGGTATAGAGCCAGGGTGGGTGGGCTGGCCCACCCACAATTTCCACTACCGGTTCGGGAGAATACCACCTTTGACCAGCTGTCTGCAAGCAATATAAATCCTTCCATTCCCCAGTCAGTGTTGGAGAAGTTTCTTGGATGAGAATCAAAACATCTTCAAAGAATAACAAGAAAGTCCAGTAGCCTCTTGAAAAAAGCACCTCTGGGACAAGAAGCTGAGTTGGGTCTGGCTCTGTGTGATTGTTGTGTGCTCCTTCAATCAACTGGTGGCTGCTGGTGGATGAGAAGGGGAAAGCACTTTTCTGCAGCAGCACACAGTGCTCACCCACCTGGAGCAGCCTGAGGAATCGAGGTGGCATTTGGCCCTCCAGTTTCTCATAGGATCCCTTGAGAAAATTAATTGCCCAACCTTGCTTTAAAAGAATAGGAAGAAGTAGAGGTTGCTCAACATACTTTGAGTTCTCGGTGTTTTGGGAGTGATTGGTGGTGGGCTGAGTGCTCCAGCTTGGTGAAGCGATGAGTTCTGATGCAGAGTCAGTTTGCTCTCTCCCAGTTGCAGGCTCTTTGGCCTCGGTGCTTTTCCTGCTGCGTTCTGTAGAGCAGAAAAGGAACAAACCTTTACTGAAGTGATTTGTGATGCCACCCTGGACATTACACTATAAATCAGCTACTTTCCTGAAAATTTTAACTAAAGGACTTTCAGAAACATTTTGTGTAAGGAAAAAAACCCTCAAACAATGAAACAAAACAGGCCTTCAATGAAAGACATGGATATGAAGGAGTATTAAAACCCGTCTGATGGCCTCTAGTTGTGTTGATTATACTGTAAATCCCTCATATGTGACCGGAATTGATGATAGATACCATCCAACCCAAATGGAAGCCCAAGTCAAACTTTAAAACGTAAATGGGTTTAACAATACAATGATTAGTAGAGATTTAGAGAGACTTGGAACGTGGATTATGATTACAGTTGCAACTGAGAGTTTGGTGGAATTAACCAGAGGTCCACCTAGGCCAGAAGTCAGCAACCTGTGGAGCTGCATTGTGGCTCTTTCATCCCTCTGCTGCGGCTCCCTGTCACTCAAAATCTGTGTCACAACCGCCAATATGCAACAACCGCCAGCATGCTATTTATTGAGCTTTTCAACCCGTAGTAGGCCAACCATGGATAAATCCAAGAAAGGAAAAGTTTCAGAAGAAAACAGAACATTTAATTCAACTACATATGCTAGTTTTGTAGCCGCTCAGTAAATAGTCAGGCATGGGAAGGGTTTTGTGCAGTGGTGGGATTCAATTTTTTTTACTACCAGTTCTGTGGGCGTGGCAGAGGAAGGTTACTACAAAATCCCCATTTCCTCCTGGTCAGCTGGGATTCGGGAGGCAGAGAACAGATGGGGGCGGGGCCAGCCAGAAGTGATATTTACCGGTTCTCCGAACTACTCAAAATTTCCGCTACCAGTTCTCCAGAAGTGGTCAGAACCTGCTGAATACCACCTCTGGGTTCTGTGGCTCCCGGTGTTTTCTTTTCTGTGGGCGGCTCTCTGAGTGTTTAAGGTTGCCAACTCCTGACCTAGATTGATACAGATACCCCTTGAGGTGATGATCAAATGTTCTGCTAGCTGAATCCCTCCCAACCTCTCTTTTAACAATGATGCGAATAAGCTTACACAGCTAGGAGAAAAACAGCATAAGTTCCCAGGGGAAATTCATCACTCTGATGCATTTATTACCGTTTTGAAAGCCAACTCAGCTTCTGGCTCCTTCTCGGCAATAACCTGAGATTTACTGAGACTCCAGTCTTTCCGACGGAATTTATTAGCCCGGTTGTCTGCATCATCTTTGGCAGGCTGCTCTTCCATCCTAGAGGCTGCCGAACTTCTCCTTTCCACCAGTGGCTCAAGAATAGATCTGTAGCCCACACAGAAATACTGTCATAAAGAATTATACCCTGTCTCTTCTGGTCAGCCTGAAAAAAACAATATTTCTTGTTTTCCGGAGATGTGAAGTAATCTGACAAGATATCATTTTCTCCGTGATTGCCTCCTATTATTTATTTGTTTTGTTGACTTTGCAGCAGTGGTGGGTTGCGGATCCTGTTGCAATTGGTACGGTGCAATGAGGCCCGGCGTCCACCACATGAAAGCGTGTAGCACGCACATGCATCCTTACCTCATGCAATGCCTTCGTGACGCTCCAGCTGCTCGGTGGGATGTCGCGCAGGCACTGTACTTTCTGTGCGTGTGCGCGGAAGCGCCAAAGAGCTCAAATACAGGTAAGGATGGCAGGCGGGCTCTCCGGAGTACCATACCGGAACGGTACCTGTGCTCCCAGCCAGCACCAGTACTCCCGTACTATGGCGAACCGCCTGCAACCCACCATTACTTTGCAGGCAGTCCTTGTCTTACAACATTCGTTTAGTGACCATTCAAAGTTACAACAGCACTGAAATAAGTGACTTATGGCAGTTTTTCATACGACCATTGCAGCATTTCTTTGGTCATATGATCAAAATTGGCAATTGCTTCATATTTATGATGGTTGCAAGGGGTCCCGGGGTCATGTGACCCCTTTTTGCGACCTTCTAACAATCAAAGCCAAGGGGGATAACCAGATCCACTTAACAACTGTGTTACTAATTTAACATGTGTGCAGGGATTCACTGCACAACTGTGGCAAGAAAGGGGGTAAAATGATGCAAAACTCACTTAACAACAGAAATTTAGAGATCAGTTATAGGCAGTGGTTGAGGACTCTCTGTATTATCCACCCAACACTAACGTTGTTATTAAAAAAAACCTACAAAAACAGATGAACACATCAAATAGTTTAAGGTAATAGAAATTCTCCTGTTTGCATTTCTTTCACAGACTCCTTTCTATCAAAAATCTCTTTCAATCCTTCCCATCAACTTACCCATCAGATCCTGGTCTGGAGGAAACGCTGTCAGATGATGTAGATGAAGTAGATCCAACTGAAGAAGTGACAGAAGTAACTGACAGCCTTCTCAATGTGGAGGACATGATGTATGGCAAAACCACTGAACCGGACCTGCTCTGCTTTCTCTCCGTCAGTGAGGAAGGCTATTGTTAGAATACAAAGAAGGTTGTGAAAGAAATCCAAGCTATTTGCTCATCCGGAGAAGAACATCTGCATCTTCTGAAACTTTAGAGGTTCTTCTCCCAAACCATTTTTGAAGAGATGTTAAGTTCTGAAATTTCTTTTGAAGTCTCCACCCCCTGCTGATCATGTAGCTCTGGAAAAACGAGCCTGATTGAAGCAACAGAGTCTGATCAGGTGACCTCCCCAGTTTCAGGAGGACCTTTGCTTGTTTACATTAAAGGTGGCCATTAGCTCCAAAACAGGTTCAATATAAACCCTAGAAACAAATTACTTGGCAAATTGCTTTTTCCAGTATAGGCTCATGTGATAACTAAAATCACTGGAGAATATTTTGTGAGTTATCCCATCATTTGTACATTGTTATCTGGAATTCACTTGGATAAAGGAGTGGTGACACCCAAGCTGTCCCCCTTTAAAATTTTAGTGAGTGGATTAAATATGGGTGCCACTGGTTGGGTTTTATTAACTCCCTTCCTTCCTTCCTTCCTTCCTTCCTTCCTTCCTTCCTTCCTNCTCCACTACCTTGTCATGGCGATCAGTAATTCATTCAGAATTATGTCAGGACAATAATGTACTGGTAGATAAAAGCAAGAAATCAATGCCATGGATGTACTTTTAACGTCACATCTATAGTAACAGAATCTTGCAATGTATTTTCCCCTCTCTCACTTTGTCTGAACTAAGGCTCAAGCTCCTTATCTGACTATTGCCTTGGTAGGGCCCCTTCTTTCTGTCTTTTGGGGCATTCCCTATTCTTCTACAAAACACCGTGGACTGAATCTCTAACCATCTACAGGCAAAGTGTGCCTTTTATCTCTGAAGGACAGCTGCTTTGTGAACAAGCCAAACAAGCTTCTTAATTCTTTGGAATGCATCCCCCCCACAATTGGCCAATTAAGCAGTTTGGATACACAATAATGTTAATCTATTGGCATTCAGACTCAAACAGCAAACAAATTTCAACAGCTTTAATTCAATGACTTTGCCTTCCATGAGCTGCATTGTTGGGAGGAGGGAGACAGAGTCATCCCAGAACCTTGCTTATACTATAAATAGGGTTTGAATCTTACTCTTGACAGTTGCCCGAATAAGGGATTTCTTAGTTCTTGCAATAAACATCCTCCCAAAGAACTGTATTCTTGAATCACTGCCTGTGGGGGTTCTAGTTGGAACATTGGCCAAGAGAGGCTTAATAACCTTTGAGTGTTGCTAGTCATAAAAATGAGGAAATCTTTTAACTGCATACACTGGAGCCTTCGTCAACCTGGAATGCTAAGAAATAGTAAAAAATGATCAGAGACCAATGATGGTCAAAATAAAAGTAGAACTAATGAGACAGAGGGTTTTTAAAAGAAGAAAAGTACTATGTACAACATTAAAATGTGAACCTCAGCTTTCTGGCTAGACATTTTACCTAAGGCAAATTATACCTGAATTACTGAGATGCTGTTAAGATATATACAAAATGCTGGGTTCAGTAAACAAAGTTAGCTTTACCACTGCGTGCATTAAATTTCTGCTGGTGGTTTCTTTGAACAGACAGTGCATACGTTTGCGGAATGACAAACAGAGCCATGCATTTCTCTATAAATGCATCTTTTCTCTTGTATATCAATTAAATAGTTTGGATTCCCCCCTATAATGTTAATCCATAGGCTAATCTCAACAGCTGTAGTCTGCTAATTCAAAGGCCATGCCTTCCATGAGCTGCATTGTTGGGAGGAGGGAGACAGGGCCATGCCTCTCAGGGTTTTGCCTCCCAATCTCAGATGTTATAAATTATTTTAAAAAGTCAGTGTATATAAACTTTCTACTTTGAAGGCATGATGCAACCTTAAAGGTTAATGTCAAAGAACATCTTCTGAAGCAGTTGGAGAGGTGGCCATTCATCAATGATCAATACAAACAATTCATAATCTGCGGGCAAGGATGCCCAACTACCCACCATTAGAAAATGGTCTTGCGCAATGCATTTACTCTGGATTAAATATCTACCTTGTGGCTGGGTTCATGCACCATGCTAAGCCATAATACAGTGAGTTGGTATTTGGCTAAACCTCTTATGTGGTCAAACATAATGTTTTGGAAATAATTGTTAAAGCAAAGCATGGCATCATGTGATATGTGAACCTTGTCCATAACTTCAATCCCTAACTGAAGATGGACAGAGATAGCATAATCCAATTATGTGAATTATCTCTGAGATAAATTTGAGTCCCATGGGGGCTAAGCCCTGAGTTTCTGCTATAAACAAGTAAACACAGAGGCAGCATTTAACAATAAAACATACAAAGGGAGATACAGTAAGAATCTAGAATTCAACGGGCTTACACCCACTTGCATTTTAGCAAAGAGTTCAATAAGACATTTAAATTGCTGCCCAGTCCCGGTTTATCAGTTCTTGTTTGGAAGCACTTTCAATATGGTCCATTCTTCAAATTTCCAAGGATAATTACACCTTTATGTATTATCAACACATTATTGCGTAAAGAAACATAATACATCCAGAATTCAGTTAAACAAGTCTCCACAGGTATAGTAGTATAGGCCACTCCGTTTGTATGCAAAACTTTGGAACAGCGGCAGCAACAGAAGGAATTAGTGGCGCATTTGATAGTGTTTGCACACACTTGAAAGAAGAGACCATAAGACTTTCAAGGGCACAGTTGGTCAACTATGGAAATAGGCAGATGCCAGTTTGCTTTTGTTTTTAATCCACCTTCATATTGTTGGAAAAATAATATCTCAACATTATGGAATCTACGGGTCTGTCCAATGTTCTGGCTTGTCATATATAAATCCATATATTATATTAGATTAGCTTTATTGATTAGCCTATCGGCCATATCAAAAAATCCATATATTCCAACAGAGGCCATGGGAATTAGGTTTTTGTTGCATGTTTGGAATAAATAGGCTAAGCAGGCCAAAGAATCCTTCCTCTTAGACCAGATTTATCCCATTCCAAGGTCTCTACTGCTGGCCAGAGAGACTGATGGAAACCATATCCTCATTGTCCAAGTGCAGCAAAGTGGGCTTGAATTTGTCACACATATCCACTCTAGCGGCAAGTGTGTGTTTTCACAATGTGGCGCTTAGCTGTTTGAAGACCAAGGAAGATCTTAGATGTTAAGAAATTGATTCCCCTGAGAGAATTTCTGCAGTGCTGGTGTTTTATCCATGGTGGAACAAGGACTGATGGATGAATGTGGTTTCTTTAGCCTTGCAGAAGCCCTGATACGCCATAGATGATCAGAAGATACGTCTTGGGATGTCAATAGAGAAATCAGAAGCCAGGAAACATCAGCTTTGCCAAAATTTCTAGCAGCTGATTTTTGTTCACATCCCCAAACTTTGTGCAGGAATGGAGGGGCGAAACTGTTCAGCAGGAAGAAGCCAATGCTGAGACGTTCTGGAGAACTAGATACTGTACATCCACAAAGCACCAGATGTTCAGTTCCAGATGAAAAGAGACAAGATGATGCAGAGTCCTCATTGTAGATCTGGCTCTAAAGAAAGGATACCGGATTTCCTAGCTTTAGGAGGAGGAGGAGGCGGCTTGGGTTCTCGCCTGGTAGGCAGAGGTGGAGCCACCTACAATAATGCAAACATAAGAAAGAGACAGTTAGACTCCTAAGTAAAATCCAACTCTAGATTTGATAGAGAGAATGGGAAATGTAGGACCTACAATCATTTCTTTTAGAGCAGGACCAGTGATATCATTTGATAGAGTGCCAAGGCAACTGGCGGGTCCCAGGGATGTCACAAAGAGGCTTTTGTGTTGTGAACATCTGTGACGGACTTTGCATTGAGGAAGACCCCTGGGCAAAAGCTCCAGATTTAAAGAAACAAGACACAAAACTAGATAAAATTCTTCTCTTTAATTAAAACACTCAGTCTGGCTTTTTTGCTCCAAACCTGGGGGTGGGGTTGAAACTTTTGTTTTTAGGTTTTGATGATTGGAACGATTTTGTTATTATACAGCTGGCTTGAAAGGTTGCGCAATGCAAAAGCAAAATGTGGAGGCTGTATTATATAGTTGTATATTACTGCACTGAAAAATTCCAGAAGGCACCACTTCCCCCTCCCCCCTGCTCTTTTCTCTCTTTTTTTTTAGTTTCCTAACTTTTGTTTTTTCTGCATTTTTACCTTGTAATAAAATGCAATAAAATTTACAAACCAACAAACAAAAGATTTAAAGAAACAAAAAGGAAAGAATCTTCCCAGCAAGAGCCAGGAAGTCGGCCCCAACAGTCACACAAGGAGCATTTTACATTACCTCTGCATTGTGTGTTCTCTCCCCCCTCCTCCGCTTTCATTTAGGGAGGGAGGGGGGAACACGGTTTTCTTTCTGGTAGTTTCAGGGAGAACGCCATTCAACTAACCAAAGACTTTTAAAAACAACAACAATAAAACAACAACAAAAACAAGGTACAACCCTGAAAATCCCCTGGGGATATTTGCAATGGCGCTCCTATCTCAGGTAATAGCATCCAAACGTCATGTCGGTACCTCTGTGGAGTTTCTGGAGCCGTTACTCTCATAGGGCTTGCATTTGGGCGGCGGTGGGGGAGGAGAATTCTGCAAGTTAACGTTTGTTAATCCATCTGCTTGCAAGGAAGGGAAACCTGGAGTGGTAGAGACGAGAAGAAAGACAGATGGTAGCCATGGTTAGGAGGGGGGTGGGAACAATTTCTAACAGAAGCATACTTGCATCACCGCTACTTTGGGGGCATGCCTGTTTCTTTTAGCGGTTGATTGTGAACAGATGTGTCAATCTGGAATCCCACTTGTCGCTCCCCAGGCCCTGCTATCGCAGAAGCTTCGTCCACGCACAGCCCATGAACCTAAGCACATGTGAAAAACGCACGCCTGGGGACCAGGAAAAACAAAATCCAGAATGACACCCGATGGGCTCCCTGGGCTTTGCTTTCACATTGGACTTTATCCGTTGCAGTCTCCAGAACTCTCTTGCGAGAGGAGGAGGCAAGCCACCCAAACTTCTCATGAACTTGGAGGTGAACTGCCTTAGCATTAACAGGAAAATATAAACCAGACCTGTTTCAGTTTCCTTTTAGGATGAATGTTTCTTTTTAAAATTACATTAGGAATATATCTGTCACTCAGTCTTCATGAAGGATCAGGCCAGACCCAGGGCTGGGGAATCCATGATCAACTTTCCTAATTTCCTGTTGTTGTTAAAGGGTGTAAAATTTGTTCTAAGATCAATTTCCATTTGAAAATGTGTGTGTATACATGTGTATCTCTGTGTTTCTCTCTACATGAGTGCCTACACACATATATGTCAAAACCCCTAGATATTTGAAAGAAACAATAGTCATACTTTAAATTTCAGCCAAAAACAAGCAAAGTAATCTTTTATAAAATTTCAATTAAAATGAAACATTCAGCCTTCATCCTGGCCCTACCCACTCTCATGGCCTTCCCAAAGGCTATTAAGACCTGGCTATTCCGGCAGGCCCCAGGCTGTTGACCTCATGATTGAGGTCCAGCCCCGATTAGAGTGTATGTTGTGGTTTTTTTAATCTATGTTTCTTTTGTTTTTAACTTTTCTATTTTTAAAATGTATTTGTTGTGAGCTGCCCGGAGTCCTTCGGGATTGGGC